CCCTTCCTGACTTCAGTCTACTGAAGACAAATAGACGGTGCCAGCCATCTGAGGCAGTTCTATTTGTCGATAAATTTGTGGGTGCCCCGGGAAAATAACAATGACAGGTAGCAATATCTACAAATGACAACCAAACTTGTATTAATCTACAGCTGCCATCTCACACACTTACAACAAATAGTCCCATTAGAATGCTCCTTTATTCCCACATAAAATCAGTAAATTAAATGAGTCAATTCTCATTATCAGACGTGAGGATCATAACGTTCTAGTGGCCCTGTTCAATTGTCATTCTAGGATCATTTGTTGAATGTTAAAATTAAAGTATGGAAGCCTTCAAAGTGTCCAGTTTTCCCACTGCTACAACTAAGACTAATATACCCTCGACAATAATGGGTTCAAAGCTAGCCTGTTCATTCACAGTATACACATATAGCACTTTTATAAAGTAACACTATTATAAAACAATATTTTCAACATTCATTGCATTAAAAGGATGTTCAGGTAATAATGTTAAAAGAGCCTTTGTTAAAATGTAAAATGTTACAATAAGGACATTCTCTGGAAGCTTTCTGAAGACCTTTACGTAACGTGGGCTAAAATTCTGGGAACGTTCCCTGTTTGCTGGGGGATTATTAACCAACTTCACTTCAGTAATATTCAAACACAACTCTGGTCATGTTCACCCAAAGGATCTCGGATGTTTACCTTGTGTATACCACACTGCTCAAAATAGTCATTAAACATGACCCATCCTGAAAAACAACGACCAGCCTAATGAGTGGAGACTATTGCATCTGCACATCCAATTTAGGAAGGACAGTTGAGGACGTTTTTTTTTTTTTTTTGGAATATCTCTGTAAATCCACAGTTAAGAAAGACGCGCCCTTTCAGAATGATGGACATTGCCCTTCCCATTTTTAACAAAAAAAAATTCACAACAAAATGACCAAAACATGGGAAAACCATTATTTACAGGAATCTTCCTCATTTTTGTATATTTGAAGGACACTTGTTTTTTTGCATGCATGAGAGTGGCCAATCGTTAAAACTCACCGCACGTCAGCCTCCAACAGGCGATATCACCAGCAAAGGAAACAAGGCTATCAGAGCTGTAGGCTTCACCTCCTAGGTCATGGGTTCAATTTCTGCACCCAGCTGTGTGGAATTAACATGTTCTCACCACATTTGCAATGATTTCCCCAGGGAGCCCTGAGTTCTTCCTCCAGTCCAAAGACATGCGGTTTAGGTGTCCCTATAACTGCCTGTGTGTTTGCGTCTATATGGCTTCTATCACTGGCATCCTGTCCAGGCTATTATAACCTTGAATGGCTCCAGGTACCTATGACCCTGCATTGGAGAAAAGCTTCTGAGAAAATGGATATATGTGGCTCTGCTTGTCATGCTAGAACCCTGGATGGAAGACAAGTAGTTGTCATGCTATCTTGTCCCAGTTAAAAAAAAATCAAGCAAACTAAATCTAAATCTCTAAAATCTACTTGAGGAACACTGTAAGGCTTTACATTATTAAAAAGCATCACACTACAAATCATACTCTAATAGGGTCAGTTTTTTTCCTTCTCCTGAGAGGTTTATGGGGATTGAACTATAAATATATCAGCCAACGGGAAAAGCCATTACCTTCGGCTAGCTTTGAAAATAATTCTGATTATGCCCAACACTTCTACCAAATAAAATCATTAAAACGAGTGTAATGGTGGAAACGTTTTGACTAGTGATGTCAAACGATTAAAATTTTTAATCAGATTAATCACAGGGTTGCTGTGGATTAATTTTGATTAATCACGATTAAATATCATTCATGTTTAATCTATATTAATCGCATTTTATTTTGCATGAGCAAACAGACTCAAGAAAAAAGGGAATATATATGCACTTAACATGTTTATTGAACATCTTGAACACGAGTCGGATGCATTACATCTGCCACAGAAGTGCAATACCATGGACCCATATCAAAAAGCAAGATTTTTTGCTTAGCCGGACAACTTTAAGGTACCTCAGTTTAAATGGTCTTTATCTTCGTTCACTTACAATTAGCCCGAACTACCGTAAATCCGACAAATAATCCAACTAATCATGAAATCCAATTCTAGCCCGGTTAATTGCCATTGTTAGCAATATCAGTTGATAACACATTACGTGCGGTGCTTTACGTATAAAACTCCGTAGCAACACGTCCACAGATAAGTTGGACGGTATAGTGTGTACGACTGATTTAATGAGCCACAAATGAGAAGTAGTGCTTAAACAGTATAAAACTTTCCCTTCTGTTGATAAAGGGCGCAGCCATCTTGGATTCTGAACTCGGGATCCTCTGTGCTGCTCCGAGATATCACTGTAATTAGGTGAGTCTCGGCATTTTGTCGCTTGATAAAAGCGTAAAATTGCTTGTCGTATCCCATAATGCAAAGAACTATGGTAATGAGTTAGAAGACGGAGTCGCAAGTAATAAATTAATAACACGAATGCAGCATTAGCATTTGTGCTGCCAAAATCCGGTTACCTCATTCAACACAAAAAAATTTAATGCAGTGTTACGTTAAAAGCTTTTTCATAAGAATAATATGGCCACAATCCACCCATCCATTTCCCATACCAACTGCACATGGTCACTATCATAAGCATACTCCAGTTATGTCAAAAAGACAATTAAATGGACATCATTTATTTTAAACAGTAAGGGCTTGTGTATAATGATCTTCCACAGACAAGAGGATCGCTGTGCAGTTGTGAAGATGCAGAAATCATGCATCAATTAAAATATAGCTGCAGTACAAAAGAAGGAAATTAAAAGAGCAGTTCCTCTAGTCAGTGCACAGTGCCAACGCATTTTCACAGGTTTATAAAAGCTACTGTAGGCCATTATAGGATGAAAATATTTGGTGGCTTCCTGATAGCTAAACATTAAATGTCTGTATTTAGTTCCAAACACAGCGGTTTAATGTGCCATACGCCCCGATAAGAAAATGGGCTCAATTTTTAAAGAAGTGTTGTTATTGGCTTCTAGGGCCACTGGCCTAAACAAAGTCCATTTGAAGGGTAACATTTTGAACCAATGTGGCTCACACATGAACAATGGACCATTGAAAAGCCTTTTCCTGTGGCATTTACACTAACAGTTGTAGCAACTTTTGGCAGCCACCTTATGCTGGGCTCCTCCTACAAGGTCTTGGTCAGACATTATTTGGTCAACCGTCCAAATACTGCACATATCACAAAACAAGGATGAAGAATTTTGCTTCTCGAATAAAACAAATCTTACCCCTTATATCAAATGAAAAGTTACTGAAATGGAAAGCACCATAACTGCAGACTCACACCACTGAAGCTGTGCAATATTCTCATGAGCGTCACAAAGTAGTGCATGCCTTCGTTATTATGAACCATTGTATAACGGGATTTGTGGCAGTCCGTTCATAAGTACAAGTAGTCTGTAAGTTGGACATTTTTTAACCTGGGGACTGTCTGCACATAATAAGGCAGTTAAGTGAACTTCTGTCTTTCAGTTGCCCTTAATGTGTCTGTATGCTCTCCAGTGCACTGGGATTCCGCCCAGGTATCTCCAGCATTGTCAGCTGTTATTCCTGAGATCCAGACTCACTGAAATTCTGTACTGGATAAATAAATATGAAAATTTTATGAAGGAGCTTTTTTTTCAGATCGTTAATTCTTTAAGAGAATATCCAAGATGCCTGCAAAACTGAACAGCCTGAAATTACCCAGTAAATATAAATATTTGAAATCTACTAACCAAGACATATTTGCTTGTTTCATTCTTTTTGAGTTGGCATTTGAGTTTTTCCGGTTTCAGCCTACTGAATTCTAATGACAACAGCACGGCACACATTACAATTATTTCTCAACATGGCCTGCGAATCACTCTGGAAGAGCTCTCTCCGCTCAGCGGCTAACCCTGCCTTTCTGCTTAGAGACGGCAGCCAGTTTAAATCTCCCTGGTGTCTTGGAACCTCATCTGTGGAGTCGCAGATATCCCACAGATGCACGGATAGCTGACATAGAGCTGACCAAGACCGTGGGTGAAATATTGATATTCTAGGTACCCAGAATCCCCATCTTGCCATTGATAACACTCTGGACATGAGACAGGCCTTGTCCTCCATATCATATCTACTCAATGACAGACTGCTCAGTATTATCCTGGATATCAAAGTGGGCCATGATTCTCTCTTCAAGGCCACAACCTTAACTCAGATATATTTAACACCTTCAAGTGACAGGCCCATGGACAGAATTTTGTTAAAATCTCAGCTGCAACAAAACCCACTGAAACATTCAGCTGGAAATTAAATACTAGTGATGATACAGAAAATGCCTTGATAACTAAACGCAGGCTTACTCAGAATCAATCTTGAATTGTCTATATGTCCAAATTAACGCTCACTCTATGTCCATATGCGACCTATCGGTATTTTCGCAAAGTACAATCTGAAGCGACCGGGCATTAACTGCAAAGTATGAGTGTATAACAAAACGTTTTTTCCTATTTAATATGCGGTTAGTTACACACGTATCAGTACATGTTGGTTGTGGACAAACTGTGTATACGGCAGTGTGCTTACACTGTAGGGTTCGCAGCAAACGGGTGAATCCATTTATCCGACCAGACACGAGCCGTAGATATTACTAAATGACCCAGTTTGTGTTTTCTTTCCAAATGACCTTATTTGTTAGAATTCCATGTTGTAATACAGAAAACTGAGATCGACTTCAGCCTATGTATATCTCGTACATCCTCGGCTTAACTATTTTAATAAAATCTAACATTGTTCATTGTGACTGATCCAGTTTTATATCTAAATGCGGTATGTTCACGTCAACATAACTCTTCTCGTACTGAATAATTAACAATATATACGATCCACATATAAGTTAAATTTATTTATAATCCTCAAGCAGAAGAGCCATTATATGTACCGCTGAAGCAACACCTATCACGGAGTAAAAATGACACTCACCGTGGGCAGCAAAGGCTCCATCAGAGCTCCCTGGTCCTTCATGTCCATCTTCAGCCGCCTACAATTCAATTTGTACGATATCGGACTGTTACTCTTTCACAGTATTCCTATCAGGTGTTTCCGGAGCAAGATGAATAGTCACACACACACAAAATAGTAAATAAAAAGGTAACAAAAAAGGCCTAGCAGATACGCTCACATGTCGCTAAGTATCGTCCAGCCCCGAACCTCTTTTTCGTGTTATTTCTGCATTGAATAAGAGGGTTTCGGACTCACAAAACTAAAGCCGAAAGCGCGTAGATCTGCGCTTTCATGACGCCGCTGGGCAGCGTGAGCCCCCGTGTATCCGTAAAAAATTACGCCCCTTTACTATTACGGCTTGTAAATGCTTTACCGTAATAAGTGGAACTTTCTTTACACCGCATATAATCTAGTGCTATCGCCCGATCAGATTATACAAAGGAAGTGCGTGTTCTGCTGCGCGCCCGAGAAGAACGAATCCGAATGGAATCATTGTTAAATCCATTGGTGGGGGGGAAAAAAGACGGATGGCCATTGAAATGAAACACGACACATTTAGCCCCATAATTTGAGATCGTAATGACTTGAGGGATGCATATCGATTATGGCGTTCATTAACGACGCGTCTCTTTTATGCTGTATCTGTTGAAAGCAACAAAGGCTCCAGCCGCTCTGATAGTCTCCCTGCCGATCTTCCATCGCGTAATGCCCTCCGAGGAAACCTCAGGTTCCGTTATGTGCTAATTCACCGTCTACTTACCGTTAGCTTTCTGGCATTGTAATAACATTTATGATTCGGTCCCAATTTTCGACTGAGAAGCAACTGCAATATGACATGGATTACCTCTTCCATTAATTGCATCCTATGCCACTAAACATAGTTCGGCACAAAACGATAAAGGGAAGGAAAGAACAGCAAGAGGATGGAGAGGTCTCATTGATTCTGGCTGGGTTTTCGCTCTCTTGATTCCTGACGTTTAAACTGCATATATTGAAATGTTTGCGAAAAGTATAACTAAGTACAGGGGCAGAAGCGAATTGAAGTTAAACAGTTCGTGGCTGAAAATTGTAATTTAATTAACTACATGTAATATTCACCTAAATTAGATACTTGTGTATTGTAAATAAATAAAATCCTGCCTGCTACTTAGAAGCGCTTCAGTTCTGTAAATGAAAACTATGCGTTTTATGTTGGCCTAATTAAGAGTCATTGTTATACTAGGCAGAGGACTGGGGCGTCCTGTTGTCATAACAACGGAGAAACCAAAGGGTTGTTACTGAAGACTCTTGATGACTTACAGTTATTTTGGTGGTCTTCCCCGGTCTTCACTTTTCCCACAACCAGAAAAGCGAAACAAAGACATCTTTTTAATTACATATTTCATTCTGTTCATTAATTGCAAAGGCAAAACCTAATTGTCAGGTGAATTGTAACAGATTGGTCATTTATAATATAATTCTTTACAATTCGCTGATCTGCTTGCAAAACCAAAAGTGATATTCCAGAAAGTGTACAATTTTACCATTTTACCAATACTTTGATAACATGTAGGCTTTAATATGCAATGAATTCAGAAGACTAGTGAACACAATCTCCAGGGTTCACACAGGGCTCATCCTGATTCACTTGCCAGTCCATTAATTGACAGGCACATTCAGTCCACTCAGGATCAAAATTTGAAGGACCCTAAGATAGCCAGCAAAAGCACAGAACATACAGATTCCATAGATTCAGATCCAGGGTGGGATTTTAACCCACAACACTGAAAGTGTGAGGCCACAGTGCCACCCATAGGGCCACAATGTCACCATAGAAACACCACCTAGCAAAAAAAAAAAACAAAAAAAAAACAATGGATTATAAACCCCAGGTTCCTGACTATGTGAGTACCACCCAACATGCAGATAATTTATGATCATTGGCAATGTTTGCTGAAAGGAACATGAGTGTATAGAAGGAGACACGCCACAATGGAAGATATATGGATGTGAAAAAGTACAGTACACATGCTTTATTTGCACTAGTACATTGGAATGCTTCTCTTCACTGACTCCATCTAGCTGTCCTTAGCTTGGGAGTCACAGTGCAGGGTCTGCTAACGTGCAGGGCCCCTGGAACTGGGGGGTTAAGGGCCTTGCTCAAAGGTCTATGGCAGGGGCGTTGCTAGAGATTTTGGGCCCCATGAAAGCATATCATATTAGGCCCCCCAGTCCAAACCAATCCAGTTATTTTCCTAATTTTTTAGGGCCCCTGTCACTCAGGGGCCCTTGGAATCGTCCCAGCTTTCCTCCCCCTTACGGCGCCCCTGGCCCATGGACATGTGACTGTTCTGCTGAGGCTGGGGCTTGAACCAGCAATCTTCTGATCACACACAGAGCCTCTCGCCGCCTGGGCTTTGAAATGACTAACAGCCTCCAAAACACTAGAACAGCATGTACCAGAGATCTGAGTCATGCACACGCTGCTGAAGAGTGCATAGAAAGGATTCCTCTTTACACGCATTTTCTGGTTTATCTCCCCTATAATAAACAGTCACATATATGTGCTCTGCACGTCATCAAGTGATTAATTGTCGTTGTTGACACACAATAATAAAATGTGTCCTCTGCCTTTAACCCGTATGTAATATGGTAGTGAACTGCTATTATTTAGTGCCTAGAGAACAGTGTTTTGCTGGTGAAGGATTTGAACCAGCAACCTTCCAATCACATGTCCCTAACAATTAGACCCCCACTGCCCTGCAATGTAATATGCTTATTAAGTCAGTTCAGAAACAGGCAAACGTGTTTTTTTTTGTTGTAGGTATGTGAACACTCTTCAGAAGATCGTGCTCCTTTGTTACAAAGGTACGCATAAATTATTTTCACGTAACTTTACATTTATAATGCTTTGATTCAGGCCTAATTAAAATCTAAGTTTTTTATTAGGAAAATATGATTACCTCATGTGCTCAAAACAAAATGATATATTCCCAATATAATATACATGACAGGTTTCAAAGGTTTTATCCACTGATTTGCAGTGAATAATCATATAATTAATTGTTTTGAAAACAGTATTTCTTTAAAAGTATTTGATTAAGAAGAAAATATAGCGCACGAAATACGAAAAAGCGCCACAACAAACGAAAAACAGACGTTATTGCGTTTTACGTAATTCCAGTTGCACGCAGCGCTAGTTAAAATCTTAACCAGCTGTGTCTTTGTTATTGTACGTGCGCGTGGATAGAGGGCGACAGATGATTCGTGCACAATGTGCTGATGTTTAAATTAATGTCACCACAAGATGGCAGTAAAGCGTGACTAAATAGCCATGTAGGGCTCAATAGGCCTTTTTCACATTAAGCATCCACCCATCCACCCATCTACTTTTATACCGGCGTATAAGGCAAGGTAAATTCTGATGTTAATTAAAAAGTATGTAATCAATTTGACAACATTTTTTGGGGGGTTAAGTGCATGGTAATCTAATGAACTAGGTCGTTTTCTGGTGGAAATAAGTTACAGATGTATAGTTATATAAAAACGAAACTAACAAAAAGTCATTAAGTAGGTCTGTGTTTATTAGTCAGTTGCATTTATCCAGTCTGCATGCATTGGGGTGCTTGTCACAAAAAAAGTCCGATTTCTCTATACTTTACAATCCTCAAGTTTACAAAAAAGTTGTAGGTTTTATTTATAATCTGGATGAACTGGAAAAGACAAAAATATTCTATGTTACACCCCATGTGTACAGTAATCTGTAGTGATATGGAATCCAACAGCACAGCAAGAATATATTTAGGTTTCAGATTGCATATTTAGATTAAACTGGCATATTTATGTTTGTCTAAACTGTAAAATACCAAAGTAATTGCATTATTATGGATTTCACCGAAAATCTTAATAATAAAAAATTAGCAAATTGAAAATAAATGCCAGCTTTTATGAGACTGTGACATTTTTTTCAGGGTATTATGAAAAGGAAGCAAAATTATGGCTGTGGTAAAACAAATTGCCATAATGTCTCGATTGTCCTGATATGATAAAGGCTACCCAATTCTTTAAATCAGCCTCAGGGCAAAAAATACAAGGTCGATGATATCTAAATCGAGACTGAACATAATGTTACAGCATCTAAGATCTGTGACGACTGAAATGCAAAGCAAGTTTAACACATTCTGTTTCTGTGGCGCTCATTTACGAATGTTACTGCTTTTTAAGTATATAATTCTATTTTTTCTGTCCGCAATTCAACAGCAAACGATGCTTTATCATAATGTTGTGGATGAAATCTCATTAAGAGAAAAAGTCATAGTCTGTAACCTGCACAGGTAATTATAAATATTTGGAAGTTCTTAGATTTACATTGTAATTCTCGAGTTTTATTCCTCGTTTTGAATAAATGATGCATTTCAAAGCACATGATAACTTCCCAAATGTATAATACATACATTAGACTCAAGTAACTAATAAATTAACACAGCATTTCCCATGGAATAACAAGACTTTTAAGACATTTTCAGACACAGGCTTTTAATTTCGTAAAAAATAATATTAAATAAATAAATAAAACACACGTTTACATTGTAACGACATTCACAACATATGTCACACAACATTAATATTAAAACACAAGCTCTAGGCCTACAAATACCGACCGAAATGCAGGTTTTATTGACAGATAGGTAAAAGAAAATATATCAAATATTAAGACATATTCAAGGTATTGATAAAATAATGTTCACCATGGATAAATACGCATTGACATCCCCGCCGCTAAAACCTAACAATGAAATTAAAAGTTGGCAGCACAAATAAATTAGCCGATTTTACGATTTAATTAATCTAAATTGTGGTTTGCTAGATCGTTATCCATAAATTTCACACATCACTTTGTGACTATACATTTGCAGAAAACGATAACGTCAGGAGATTTAGAAATGTCAAAAAAACCGATCAATAGTTTAACATACCCCTACATTTGACACAATAATTACTAAAAGCTAAATATATCTGTACATTGATATTTTTCGTAATTAACAAAAATAGATTAAGAAAATGTGTAGGGAAAAAAACTTAAACGAGGGTATTTTGGTTTGTTTCATTAAACTGTGCTTTAGCGTAGCGTTTGAAATGATCATTTCAATGAAAGGTACCTATGGACCATGATATTTGGATAAAAACTGATTTATCCTACTGGCAATTTTGGAAAAAAAAAATATTGACTAAATTTGTTAATAAAAGGTAAGGATTAATTCAACAGTGATTGGATTCATCGTGGCCTTAATCATGAAAGTACACTGATTGCATGCAATGTCGGGTTCAATGGTCATGTCAAAATATAGGCTAGCCTACAAATAAACAAATATTCGACTTATGTCAACTTCCCTTATAAAAGAAAGAATTCGGAGCGCACCAGGGGCGGCGAGGCCCGTTCGTTGAGGCCGCACCGTTATCATCTAACTATGTGAATAGAAGCTGTAGTAACCAACGTCCTTAGCGCAGTTCTTCTCGCATTCCCGAGTCGGTAACATTTCACTTTTCAACGGGGAAGCCGTTTCCGACACCGGCGTGGCCGACGGTGAAATACGTCTTCTCTTGGCCTGTTCGAATATCCCAGAGTCGCTCGAATCAATAGATTTTATTGATGAAGGCGTCTCTGTCCAGCTGGATTCCGACAGGTCTTTTGGCTTGGCGTCTTCGGAGGCACCCAGCGGAGATCTTTCCGTTGCCAG